AGGCCTCGATTCTTTCTTGGATACACAGAATATAACTGGTTGCTAACATTTATAGGTAAAGTTGATCCAGGGAATATCCGATTGCCTCTCAAGGGATCAGGAAGAATTTTTTTTCCCCAACAGGAGCAAATTGGATCATGCTTTGCTGGGGTTTTTTTTTGCCTTCCTCTGGATAAACTGTGGGTATAGGATTATAACTTTTTTTTTTTTTTAAAGGTTGAACTGGATGGACTTTTGTCTTTTTTCAGTTAGACTAACTATGTCACAGCTAATAGATAGGAATGCAGTATGTAAGAGTGTTGGCAGGTGCAGTGCCCCTTTAAGCTTGGGCCCATTTGTTGCTGTTCCATTGCTGTCATAGGTGAGGTTAGTACCCATATAAATGCCAGCTGTGGGTGGAGCCTAATCAATAGAGGTATGGTATTAGGACACCCAAGAGCTGCAAGATGTAATCCTACACGGAGATGATCTAAAGGCCCTGTGCATGGCTGAATTTCCAGGCAAAGTGGTACAGATCATGTAAGGACAAGCTTGAATCGCTCTGTCTACCCCAGACCTTCTTCTGCAAGACCTGTAGTAGGGTGCGTATGGCCTTGTGGGTCTGTGACAGCTGTTACCTGGGAATAGATGTCAGCAGCGAGCATGCACGGCTGGGCAAAGCTATAGAAAGGGCATTTATGAGTGACTGCAATATACTAATAGAAAGACCTTGTCACTCTGAGCCTCATCTGCGGGTCCTTTGGCTCAGTGGTGGTTAGCCTAAGTCCAAGTGACTGTTTTTTCAATAGCAGCAAAGAAAGTCTGACAAACTTTAAAGTGGTAGTAGCAAAGTAGTAATAATAAGGCTTACCTGTAGGTATAGTAAATAGCTCCTAAACATGCACTGTTTAGGAGATATTTACTTTAGAAGTGGTGTTGATATCACCAGTGCATGTGCACTGTGCTCTCAATGGATGGCATGTCATCTATTGAGAGAGCAGTCCTGATACTGTGATGTCACTGCGGCTTGGCCACTCAAACTCCCTCAGCCCTTAAACCCGGAAGGAAGACCTGGTGAAGATGGAAGCCTGGGGGAGCAGTCACAGCACTCCACTTGAGGGCTTCATTTTCAGGTAAATCTTTCATAATGTGCTATTATGCAATGCATTAACTTGCAGGGAGAAGATATTTTTGTTTTTATTTTTTTTGCTGTTTACTACTACTTTAAGTTATATAGTACAGCTCCTGATGGCCCCGAGGTTTAGAGGTCTTTATTATTACCCAAGGTCATGCTGATTTATTAAGGGTAAGCCACTACTTGCAGAAAATGACACCACTGGATGACAGAGTCGCCATTTACCCCACTTTTGAATGGACTTCCAAATATGGGCATGGCCAAAGAGCAGTAGGTGAGGCTGCTGATTCCTTTCCTCTCCGGGGAACCCCAGAAAGCCTACCTACACTTGGTTTCAAAGGATACCAAGGAGTGTGAAAAATTAAAAACTTAAATCATCATTTGCTTGGGGGTAATGGTATGAAGTCAATGACCTTGCATCATGGAGTAGAAGTTCTGTGTGACTGTAATAAGTACCCTACTGTCATGGTGACTTTTGAAACAAGTCCAGGAACAATATACTATGAAGTAGCAGTGTTCCCTTTAGGGCGCATTTGCACTTGCTTTGACTTCAACACACATTAAAGTGCCTACTGCTTCTTGTAATGCTACGGTGATGCTCTAATGCTACTTCAATTATGCTTTTTTGAAGCTTAAATGAAGTTTGGCAAAGTCCCTGTGTGTGTGTGTGTGTGCGTTGACTTTCTATTTGTTTTAAAGGGGCCCAGTAGAACCCCAGCTCAATAGTACCCCCAGTCAGCAGATCCCCAGCTCATTAGTACTCTTGTACAACAGATTGCCTGCTCAGTAGTACTCCCAGCTTTGCTGATGCCCCACTCAGCAGTAACCCCTAGCTTTGCTGATCCCCTGCTCAGTAGTAACTCCCAGCTCTGCTAATCTCTCACTTAGTAGTAACCCCCAGCTCTGCTGATCCTCTGGTTTGCTGTTCCTCCTCTCTCCTGGGTCCCCGCTCACCTCCCATTGCTCCCACGCTGAGACGCGCGTGTGACATTGCTAGTTTCATTTGCCCGGTCCCCCAGCTCTGCTGATCCGCTCTGGTCCGGACCCCACTCACCTTCCTGCTGATCCACGCTGCACACCAGATGTGATGTCTGCACCAGACACTCCCAGAAAATATACACATGAACCAAAAGTGACTGCTGAAGACGTCTTTCTGAGAGCCAGCTGTTGTCATACAATATCAGAAACACTGTAAGATCTCATGGAAAGCCTTCCCAGAACAATGGAGGCTGGTATAGCCACAAAGCGAAGGTGGGGAGGGGTTAGTGGCAGTGTTCCCTTTAGGGCGCATTAGCACTTGCTTTGACTTCAACACACATTAAATCTCCTACTGCTTCTAGTGATGCTTCAGTGATGCTCTAATGATACTTCAATTATGCTTTTTTGAAGCTTCAATGAAAGCCTTCCCAGCAGAATGGAAGGTGGTATAGCCACAAAGCGAAGGTGGGGAGGTGTTAGTGGCAACATGTCTCTGATTTGGAATGGAATGTCTAAAAAGTTAATCTAGGTATTATGGTCAGGTATCCGCAAATCTTTAACTATGTAGTATATGAGCTAGAAATATATGTTACTTCTGAAAGCATAACATGTTATCCAGTGAAAAGGGATCTTCCAAATGCTCTCTAGCAAACTTCAGGCGGGTCCGGACAGGGAGACACGTCTGGCACTGCAGGATCTGAGTCCCTGGTGGCGTAGTGTGTTACTGATGATAGCCTTTGTTACGTTGGTCCCAGCTCTCTGCAGGTCATTCACTAGGTCCCCCCGTGTGGTCCTGGGATTTTTGCTCACCGTTCTTGTGATCATTTTGACCCCACAGGGTGAGATCTTGTGTGGAGCCCCAGATCGAGGGAGATTATCAGTGGTCTTGTATGTCTTCCATTTTCTAATTATTGCTCCCACAGTTGATTTGTTCACACCAAGCTGCTTGCCTATTGCAGATTCAGTCTTCCCAGCCTGGTGCAGGTCTACAATTTTGTTTCTGGTGTCCTTCGACAGCTCTTGGGTCTTCACCATAGTGGAGTTTGGAGTGTGACTGTTTGAGGTTGTGGACAGGTGTCTTTTATACTGATAACAAGTTCAAACAGGTGCCATTGATACAGGTAATGAGTGCAGGACAGAGGAGCCTCTTAAAGAAGAAGGTACAGGTCTGTGAGAGCCAGAAATCTTGCTTGTTTGTAGGTGACCAAATACTTATTTTCCACCATAATTTGCAAATAAATTCTTTCCAAATCAGCCAATGTGATTGTCTGGATTTTTTTTTCTCATTTTGTCTCTCATAGTTGAGGTCTACCTATGATGCCAATTACAGGCCTCTCTCATCTTTTTAAGTGGGAGAACATGCACAATTGGTGGCTGACTAACTACTTTTTTGCCCCACTGTATACTGATATGGACTGGGTAATGTGTTAGGAATGTAAATTGTAAAAACGATGCAAATTAAAATTATTCACCTACAGAGGACTGAATTCAAAGATGCCCCAAAAATCAAAGTGAAAAAATGATGCAGCAGGCTAGTCCATTTTGCTGAAATTTCATTGCAGCAACTTAAAATGGTATTCAGTAGTTTGTATGGCCCCATGTTCTTGTATGCATGCCTGACAACGTCGGGACATGCTCCTAATGAAACGACAGATGGTGTCCTGGGGTCTTTCCTCCCCAATCTGGACCAGGGCATCACTGAGCTCCTGAACAGTTTGAGGTGCAACCTGGTGGCGTCAGATAGACCGAAACATGATATCCCAGAGGTGTTCTATTGGATTTAGGTCAGGCGAGCGTACCATTCAATGGTATCAATTCCTTCATCCTCCAGGAAATGCCTGCATACTCTCACCACATGAGGTCAGGCATTGTCATGCACCAGGAGGTACCCAGGACCGACTGCACTAGCGTAGGGTCTGACAATGGGTCCAAGGATTTCATTCCGATACCTAATGACAGTCAGGGTGCCATTGTCTAGCCTGTAGAGGTCTGTGTTTCCCTCCATGGATATGCATCCCTAGACCATCACTGACCCACCACTAAAACGGTCATGCTGAACAATCTTACATACAGCTTAACGTTCTCCATGGCTTCTCAAGTCTCTTTCACATCTGTCACATGTGCTCAGGGTGAACCTGCTCTCATCTGTTAAAAGCACAGGGCGCCAGTGGTGAACCTGCCAATTCTGGTGTTCAATGGCAAATGCCAGTCAAGCTCTGTGGTGCCGGGCAGTGAGCACAGGGCCCACTAGAGGACCTCGGGCCCTCAGGCCACCCTCATGAAGTCTGTTTCTGATTATTTGGTCCGAGACATTCACACCAGTGGCCTGCTGGAGGTCATTTTTTGTAGGGCTCTGGCAGACCCCATCCTGTTCCTCTGTGCACAAAGGAGCAGATACCAGTCCTGCTGGTGGGTTAAGGACCTTCTACGGCCCTGTCCAGCTCTCCTAGAGTAACTACCTGTCTCCTGGAATTTCCTCCATGTTCTTGAGACTGGGCTGGGAGACACAGCAAACCTTCTGGCAATGGCACGTATTGCTGTGCCAACCTGGAGGAGTTGGACTGCCTGTGCAGCCTCTGTAGGGTCCAGGTATCGCCTCATGCTACCAGTATTGACACTGACCCTAGCCAAATGCAAAACTAGTGAAAAACAGTCAGAAAAGATGAATAGGGAAAAAAATGTCAGTGGCCTCCACCTGTAAAACTCTTCCTGTTTTGGGGGTCATCTCATTGTTGTCCATCTAGTGCACCTGTTGTTAATGTCATTAACACCAAAGCAGCTGAAACTGATTAACAACCCCCTCTACTACTTAACTGACCAGATCAAAATCCCAGGAATTTACCTGACTTGATGCTATACTCTGATTAAAAAGTGTTCCTTTTTGAGCAGTGTATATATAAATAAGTTTACAAAATACAAGAGTATTGCAGTTTATTGCAGTAACGTAACACTTAAAAGACAAGTTTTCAATAGTTTTCCTTTCTTCCTCAGGAATTCCTCCAGACCTGAGAAAAAGGAGGCTACAGGAGATGGTCAGAGACTGTAGACATACTAGAAGAGATGGTCAGAGACTGCAGTCATGATACAGGAGATGGTCAGAGGCTGCAGGCATACTACAAGAGTTGGTCAGAGACTGCAGGCATACTACAGGAGATAGTCAAAGACTGCAGGCATACTACAGGAGATGGTCAGAGACTGCAGGCATAATACAGGGGTTGGTCAGAGACTGCAGACATACTACAGGAGATGGTCAGAGACTGCTTGGCATACTACAGGAGATGGTCAGATACTGCAGACATTCTACAAGAGGTGGTCAGAGACTGCAGGCATACTATAGGAGATGGTCAGAGACAGCAGGCATTCTACAGGAGTTGGCGAGAGACTGCAGACATACTACAAGAGATAGTCAGAAACTGCAGTCATACTACAGGAGATGGTCAGATACTGCAGACATTCTACAAGAGGTGGTCAGAAACTGCAGGCATATTACAGGAGATGGTCAGAGACTGAAGGCATAAAACAGGAGATGGACAGAGACTGAAGGCATACAACAGGAGATGGCCAGAGACTGTAGGCATGATACAGGAGATGGTCAGAGACTGCAGGCATACTACAGGAGATGGTCAGAGACTGTAGGCATACTACAGGTGATGGTCAGAGACTGCAGACATACTACAGAAGATAGTCAGAGATTGCAGGCATACTACAGGAGATGGTCAGATACTGCAGACATTCTACAAGAGGTAGTCAGAAACTGCAGGCATACTACAGGAGATGGTCAGAGACTGGAGGCATAAAACAGGAGATGGTCAGAAACTGAAGGCATACAACAGGAGATGGCCAGAGACTGTAGACATGATACAGGAGATGGTCAGAGACTGCAGGCATACTACAGGAGATAGTCAGAGACTGCAGGCATACTACAGGGAATGGTCAGAGACTGCAGACATGATACAGGAGATAGTAAGAGACTGCAAACATGATTCATGAGGTGGTCAGAGACTGCAGGCATACTACATGAGATCATGAGATGCAGATTGGTTGCTGGGGAAGGGGGGGTGTGATCATTGGCAGTGCTGGAGGGATGGGATGTGGGACAGTGCTGGAGGGGGGGGGGGGGCAATTGCAATGCTGGGGAAGAGGAAGAGGGTGTGATCAGTGGTAGTGCTGAGGGGTTGATGGGATCAATGGCAGTGCTGGGGGGATAGGATCAATAACACTCACTTGCATTCAGATGGTAGGGCCAGAATTTTTCGTAAACAACATGAAAGCATGGATCCCATCCTGTCTTGTTTCAACGGTTCAGGCTGGTTGTGGTGGTGTAATGGTGTGGGGGATATTTTCTTGGCACACTTTGAGCCCCTTAATACCAATTTAGCATTGTTTAAACGCCATGGCCTACCCGAGTATTGTTGCTGACCATGTCCATCTCTTTATTATTACAGTGTACCCATCTTCTGATGGCTACTTCTAGCAGGATAATGCACCATGTCACAATACTTGAATCATCTCAAACTGGTTGAACTTGAACATGACAATGAGTTCACTGTACTCCAATGCCCTCCACAGTCACCAAATCTCAATCCAATAGAGCACCTTTGGGATGTGGTGGATCGGGAGATTCGCATCATGGATGTGCAGCTGACAAATCTGCAGCAACTTCGTGTTGTGTTAATATGGACCAAAATCTCTGAGGAATGTTTCCAACACCTTGTTGAATCTACACTATACACCCCTCCAAATAATTGGATTTAGGTGTTCCAATCCCCTCCATGGCAACAGGTGTATGAAATCAAGCACCTAGGCATGCAGACTGCTTCTACAAACATTTGTGAAAGAATGGGTTGCTCTCAGGAGCTCAGTGAATTCAAGCATGGTACCATGATAGGTTGCCACCTGTGCAATAAGTCGATCCGTGAAATTTTCTTGCTACTAAATATTCCAACTGTTAGTGGTATTATAACATGTGTTTTCTGGAGTGATGAATCATGCTTCTCTGTCTGGCAATCTGATGGATGTGTCTGGGTTTGGTGGTTGCCAGGAGAACAGTACTTGCTTGTCTGCATTGTGCCACGTGTAACGGTTGGTGGAGGGGGGATTATGGTGTGGGGTTGTTTTTCAGGGGTTTGGCTTGACCCCTCAGTTCCAGTGAAGGGAACTCTTAAGGCATCAGTATACCAAAACATTTTTGGACAATTTCATGCTCCCAAATTTGTGGGAACAGTTTGAGGTGGAGGAACTTGACTGGCCTGGTCCTGACCTCAACCTAATAGAACATCTTTGGGATGAATTAGAGTGAAGGCTGTGAGCCAGGCCTTCTTATTTGACATCAGTGCCTGACCTCACAAATGTGCTTCTGGAAGAATGGTCAAACGTTCCCATAGACACACTCCTAAACCTTGTGGACAGCATTCTCAGAAGAGATGATGCTGTTATAGCTGCAAAGGGTGGGCCAACTCAATATTGAACCCTGCTGACTAGGACTGGGATGCCATTAAAGTTTATATGCGCATCAGGCATCCCAATACTTTTGGCAATATAATGTATGTCACGAAGAATTAAGGCAGTTCTGAAAGCAAAAGGGGGTCCAACCCAGTACTAGCAAGGTGTACCTAATAAAGTGGCCGGGGAGTGTATGTAATGAGTGTTAATAAAGATTTATAAGGACATCTGTTGGGGACTAATCTCTATTTTGTTCACCTTCATTATTTTTTAAACAATATTATTATAAAGTTTGAGATTGGTTAGAGCTATGAGTCAATTTTTATGGTATATTTTTGAATGTTCAACATGTAAACAAGACTGTAGGCTAATCATTTTATTTAGTGCCAGGGACTTTGATTAGCATTCAGAGTTTTTTAAGAAAGCGTATCCAAAGCCACATTTTGAACCACGTGTAAATTAGCTCTTACTGTTAAACAGTGCAATCCTGGGGAGTGGCTTTCCACTGTTTTAGGAACTGTGCCATGAGCAGGGTAAAGTCCCAGAAGTTGATAAGATTATAGGGTCTACTGAGTGGAGTCCAGACCCTTCTCAACAAAACCCTGATGGTAGTGCTGTAGGAGTGACCACTGATAAGAGTTTATCTTTTCCTTACCTTTATTAGATGGTGAACTGGAGGAGTCTCCAAAGACCTCCCTGAGGTGTTTGGTATGCCAGAGCTAGAGATCTCTCAGGACCAAACTGCCAAATTACATTACCCCATTAAATTTGTCCCACCCCTTCCTGTTTAAGATCCACCTCTTCAGGACAGGACTGGAGGGGGGCAGCGTGACAGGAGGAGGGCAGCGGGAAAGGAGGGGCAGTGGGACAGGAGGGGGCAGAGGGACTGGAGGGGGCTGCAGGACAGAAGGGGGGCAGCATGATGGGAGCAGTTGGACAGGTGGGAGGCAGCAGGATAGGAGGAAGGGGGCAGCATGACGGGGAGCAGTGTGACAGGTGTGGGGAAGCACCAGTCCTCCAAGCACTTACCTGTTTATCAGAGGCTCCTCCAGATGGTGTCAGGATTTGGTGCTAGGAGTGGTAGCTGAGCCTGTGTCACATCTCCACCAGGATCTCTGGCAGCAGTCTCAACAAAGAGCAGAGAGCTCCTCCACCTTGACCTCGTCTTCTTCTTCCTCCTCCTCCACAGGCCCTCCGCCAGCACCCCCTGGCCTCACCCACCCCTCACAGCCTGACGCACACTGCAGAATCTGACTAGAGCCTGACTGACAATGGGCCTGAGCCTGCTCCAATCCCTGCACACACTAGGGATCCATCCACCACTCCGCCCTCCTCTGCAGCCAATCCCCCTACTTGTGTGTTAGCTGTCCCCCCCCGATGGCGGCCCTGCTGCTCACACTCACATGTGTCCCTTCTGCCTGGGGGTGGTGCTGCCCCTCTTATAAAATGCCGCCCAAGGCAAACATCTTTTTTGCCTCGTGGTAGATACGCCCATGCTGTCATTGACAGTAGAAACATTCCACCAAGGGGAACAAGTGCTAGTCCTAGGTCAAACAGTCGAAAATAAGCTCCTGGCTAAATGGCAGAATCCACTGGAATGAGTAGAGGAAGTCTACCAGTTAACTAAATTGAAAAAAACAGCAAATGTATCACATAAACTCATTAAAGTGGAACTTTAGGTTACAAAAAAAGATGAAAAGGCAGAAATTTCAATGCAAAAGAGACATGCTTTTTTATCTGTTTGTCTTAAATTTACTTACCTACCTGTCCGCCCCTGTACAGTGAGTGGTAAATGCACAGCTCACTGTACAAATTCAGCAATGCTGAATTTCACTAAACCTCCGCACATGTGCAGGAGTGACATCATCCCCGCCCAGCCAATGACAGAGGCTGGTGATTGAGACCCGGAAGCCGCCGCCCGCCCCCCAAAAATGTCAGTGGCAGGGTGGGGAGCAGCAAGACGATGCATCACTGGAGCAGAGGTGAGTATAGTTCTGCTTTAAGGCTTGAAAGAAGTAGAGGTTCTCTTGGACAGTAGGTAGCAGATGCCCTGCCCCCTGCCCAAAACCAGGAAGCATAATTTCTACAGTGGAATGAGGAGGTATCCTCAGAACTTCCACTGACATACAGTTGTGTTCAAAATAATAGCAGTGTGTTGAAAAAAGTGAATAAAGCTCAAAATCCTTCTAATAGCTTTTATTTTCCATACACACAAATGCATTGGGAACACTGCACATTCTATTCCAAATCAAAAAACATGAAAAAAAAAATATCAAATTTGTGTTGTTCCTCAAAAAAAATTGAAGAAAAGTGAATATTAGACTGTTCAAAAAAATAGCAGTGTTTGTATTCTTCTTTACAAACTCAAACATTCACTATATAAACTGAAAAATGTTTGAAGATTTCGCTTTCCTTTGAATCACTTAATTAATATTTAGTTGTATAAGCACTGTTTCTGAGAACTGCTGTACATCTGTGTTGCATGGAGTCAACCAACTTCTGGCACCTGTGAACAGGTATTCCAGCCCAGGATGATTGGGCTACATTCCACAGTTCTTCTCTATTTCTTGGTTTTGCCTCAGAAACTGCATTTTTGATGTCACCCCACAAGTTTTCTATTGGATTAAGATCCAGGGATTGGGCTGGCCACTCCATAACATCAGAAAAATTAATAATAGCGCCTATGGTCAAAATTGTATAACTTACTAATAGTGTACCAGCTGCAAAAAAACCACCATATATAAAGTGTACCAATTAATAAATAATTTGCGCTAGTAAATATATATAAATATATGTAAAGAAATCATCAAATCATAAG